CTTCACAATTAAAGGCAGGTTTATAAATATAAAGTTATAAAAGTTTACTATAATCAACAATTATAGGTAAAGCACGATGATTATTTGTTTAACAATATTATTGAATAATTATAATTTGAAACAAGATTAGACAGTTATTTTATTTTAAAGGCAAGAACTGCTAGGAAGTAAGTCAGCATTTACATAAGTATTATGACTTGTATAATTTACAGTTTATTTTATATATATATATGTATATATATGTCTTTTAGTTTTTTGTTGTAATGAAGAACTTGAACCTGGGGAATTACTAAAGTCCAAGTCTTCTATGGGATCCTTTATCCTATGTTTATGGAGATGGATAGGGAATAGACTGATAGAGAAGTTTGCCAAAGAATTGTAATTTATTTGGGGATTCAAACATATAAAGACTCTCTAACCTACAATCATACACACAAGAACTCAGGAGTAAAGTACTTAGCTTGGATAGGAAACAGAAGGCTTTCTAATGGTGATAATTACCTGAAGGAGGCTGCTCCAATGATGAATGAAGATGGATAGATTCAACAGTTATGAGAGGAAAAGACAACGGACAGAGCTGGGACTCTAGTCAGAATTCACAGTGGCGTAGTGTCACCATGAAATCTATCCAGCCCCCCCCCCCCCCGTGCTTGAGATTTTTTGGGATCATCTATACCCTTAAACCTAGCCTGAGGCAAAAAGTTGCTATTGTATATCAAAGGATTCTGATTGCTGCGCTTTGAAGTAGACAATTTCCAAAGAGAAGAGATAGAATGTTAATGTTATCTCATCTTCAGCCGGACACATCCTGGCTGGCACTCATAAATCCTCTAGGTGTGAATGTCCTGCTTTGCAGCTCCTAAGCCTGGCCCTTTTGATCTGCAAAATGTTGTAAATGCAGATGTTACCTTTTTAGGTGCCTACATGATGTATATGCCTTGAGTTCATAGCGGTAGGGCTCATCCCAGCCTAGGGCTATGGCAGGGACCCAGAAAGGGGTCTTTATATCAAATCAGCCATCGTAACATTGTCTTTTAGTCTTTTGTGAAGTTATGTGTTATTGCAAGTTTGTATTGAGAGATGTTGTTTGTTATTATTTGTTTTGATATTTAATAAATGTATTAAGGGAGGAAAGGGGGAAAAGAAGATTTTAATGGAATGGGTACATTCATTTTCTATCTGACATTTGTTCTAGAAATGTAGTTGCTAGGCAGCCTCCTTTATATTAATCAGCTAGTCTTATAAAAGCCAGTGTAGTATAGTGATTTGGATGTCGGTCTAGGACTCTGGAGACCAGGGTTTGAATACTGGCTTGCCCATTGAAACCCACTGGGTGACCCTGGGGAAGTCACACTCTCTCAGCCTCAGAGGATGGCAATAGCAAATCCCCTCTGAAGAAATTTGCTAAGAAAACACCATGATAGTTCATCTTAAGGTCACCATAAGTTGGAAATGACTTGAAGGTACACAACAACAACTTTATTGGAATATGGAGGAAAACAGAAAACTTTTGTTTCAAAACTTTCATCTTTTCTCTATAGAAACAAATATTTTTGGGTTTCATCTTTCACCACAGAATAAGAACCACCATCACTGGGAGCCATCACAAGTTCTATCAAATTTCATAAGATGAACTTTCAGAAAATGTATAGACCCTCCTAGCCCAAAAGTTATTTAGCAGATCCAGAGAGTGCCAAAGAAAGAGAGCTCAGAAAAGCAAACCTTTGGACTGCAATCCCCAGATTCGCCCAGTCCTGCTGACTGGAGATACTGGGATTTTGTAGTCTGAAAGGTCATGCTTCGAAGTTCTCAAGGCAACACACATTGGTTCCTTAAAAACTCAGCAAACTGATTCTTACATCAACTTCATTATTGCTCCTGTCTGATCCATGTTTTATTCTTACCTTTTATTCTGTGCACAAAAGTAGAGTGCACCACTGCAACCATGAAGATAATGGCCAGGTTGCACTAATATATCATTTTATGTGCTCTTCCCTTTTTCACCTGTTGAGAACTTACAAGTAGTGATGGCTGCTGGTTCCTTTCTAGCCCAAATTTTCCAAGACCTGTTCAACATGCTCAGAGCCAGCATGGTGTAGAAGTCTGAGTGTTGGACCAAGACTCTGGAGATCCCTGGCTTGACCATGAAGCCCACTGGGTGACCTTGGGCATGTCACATGTTCTCAGCCTCAGGGGAAGGTAAACCTCCTCTGAAGACATCTTGCCCAGAAAACCTTATGATAGTCTAGCCTTAGGGTCGTCATATGTCAAAAATGACTTGAAGGCACACAACAACAACATTCAAGGCACTAAATATGTTTTGGAGCATAGGGATCATCACCCTGAACAGCTTCTTTAAAGTTTGGATTGAAACCCAAAGCAGATTTGTCACCCCACTTATACGGAATCAGTATGTACAGAGATCTTGTAGCACCTTTGAGGCTAACAGAAGAAAGAAATTGGCAGCATGAGCTTTCGTAGAGTTAAGTCTACTTCCTCAGATGCATTTGGTGGCGACATCTGAGGAAGTTGACTTAAGTCTACGAAGGCTCATGCTGCCAATTCCTGTCTTTCAGTGACTCTCAAAGGTGCTACAAGATCTCTCTCCATACTGATTTCTACAGACTAACACAGCTATATCTTTGAATTCTAACGCTTATATGGAAGCAGCCAGCTTCTGCAGCTTCCAAAGTTAATATTGTCTGGGTTAGATTTTCTTTGGAGAGAATAGGAGAGGAGCTGAATTTTTCTTATATTTGATTTACTTACAAAGTTCAAATGCAGCATACTTATAGATGGAAGAAGGCTGCTATAAGTCACCCAGTGGGTTTCCATGACTGAGCAGGGATTTGAACCCTGGCCTCCAAAGTCCTAATCCATTACTCTACCCTCTGCACAACATTGGCTTTTAAATATTTATTCCAAAGAGGTTTAATCTTGCCTTCCTTTGTGGCTGAAAGTGTGTAACTTCCCCAAGTGGGTTTTCATGACTGAACAGGGATTTGAATCCTGATGTCCTGGAGTCTAAAATACTATACCACTACCCAGTTCTAGAGCTCAGTAATGGTTGTTGAGCTTCTAGTCTCATTTTGCCTGTTTTTCCAATTCTTTGATAGCTCATGAAGCTGCCAGCTTTAATATTACTCTTCTGTTGCACACAGGAATATGTTACGCAGAACTCTCCCAAACACCCTCTTGTTGAGGGTGTGCAATTGATGGTTTGGCAATACCTGAAATCTTCTTATTCAGCCCGATGGACACTCAAGATCACCTGGGTGAAGGCTCAGCACTACCCAGCACAGAAGCAGAGCAGCAGAGTGAGTTCTCTTCTGCAAATTAAAGATTGGATCCAGATTGTGATGCATGCAGCTGGGCTGGTGGAAATGGGGTTCCTCATACTGTTAGCTAGAAAGAAAAATCCTCCTATGATTTAGGAAGAACTTCAAGAGCTGTTTGATGGAGGAATAGACTTCCTTGGTGCCCAGGGTGACCAGATGCCCTCCTTTTCCAGGACATGTCCTACATTTCTGTCCAGGAGGAATTCCAAAATGCACTCCATTTTGAGCATGACTAAGAAGCATGAATTTATAATTATATGAGTGTTTTTAGCTTTTATTTTGTTATGTTCTACATTTTTCTTGAATTTCCTACATTTTGTGGTGTCCTCCTTTGCAGTGATGACATTTGGTCACCCTTTTGGTGCCCTGTGTAGCTACATAGGTGTGGGGGGAAATAGAGAACATTGCCCCCCCCCCCAATAATTCTGCCTCTCCATGAAATTGTTCTCCATTACCCACATTTCTTGTTCATACCAAGAACTCTTCTATTTGATGGATTCACATTTCCTGGGTCACTTTACCTACCTCTTTGCATTGAAAGCATAGGACTTTCAGGAGAAGGCTAAAAATTGGAATTTTAACAGAATAAAAGTGTTTGGGGCCAGTACTTACCACACAACATCGTGTCCATCCTGCTGCTGACTTGCATTCCATTCACGACAGTAGTGTACCTTTTCATTGACAGGCAAAACCCATCAATAGACTCCCAATCTCCCTGCTTTTTCATTACTGCTTCTGTATGATAGCTCCCTTCCACTGCAGCTCTGCTTCTTAGGCAGTCATGTGGTGTGAGTGTCCGTGATTCTGCTCCTTTCCTAAGTCCTAACATGGTGCAACCGACTGCGTATCTGAAGATGTGCTTGCTGTTTTCACAATCCCAGTCAATTGCGTGGTACATTGAAGGCACTGGAGAGTAGCTTTGCAATGTCTGAGAGTATGCAACTGTACATACAACAGTTATACTTGCACAATTCTGCTTAATGCAGCTGTGAACTGAATACACACATTGCTCTACAGCCAAGAAAGCACAACTACATCTGTAAGGGAACTTAGGTGTTCGTACAATACCAAACATTGTCTCATCCTTTCCATATATCTTCTTGCAGACAAACACTTATCAAGCCATTCTGACCACTGATGGGTACAGAACATATGCTTTTTTCCTATACCAAGCTGGCGGGATGCAGTGGGACTACACCAGACTTTTTTCTACAAACGTGCTGATTGGATACACCAGGTATGATCAATTCCTGATCCTGCATGAGAAAAGAAGATCCAAGAAGAGAAGGACATGCTTTGGATTGTATGGTTGCTCACTGGCAACTGGTGACTTCCATGAAAGTCAGGGAAGGGAGCATGAATCTTCTTTGGGTTTTAGCCTGAACTTTAAAGGAGGCATCTAAGGTACTGAATCTTTGTTCAAGAGTCCTGGTGGCACAGTGGTTAAATACCAGTCCTGCAGCCACAAGGTTGTGAGTTCGGTCCCAGGGCTCCAAGGTTGACTCAGCCTTCCATCCTTTCGTAGGCCGGTAAAATGAAGACCCAGCTTGTTGGGGCTTACAGATTGTAAACTGCTTAGAGAGTGCTGAGTTCACTGATAAAGTGATATAGAAATGTAAATGCTAAAGCTATTGCTCCGTTGTTCTTATGTGCTGTCAGTTAGCTTTCAGTGACCCTATGAATGAGAGACTTCCAAGAGCCCTGTTCACAAATAGCCCTGCTCAGGTCTTGCAAAGTCAGGGACACTGTGACAATTCCTCAGAGACTAGCTCCTCTTCTCTGGTCCTCAGGGTGAAGGGAAGGAATCTCAAGGTGAGAATGCTACTCACCCTAAGGAGTTTATCACATGGAGGGAAGCACCCAAATCCCGTAGATAAACAGGCTTTAAATCTGTGAATATCCCACAAAAGCAAGATCGTTTTCAGATGACGTCAGGGGCCTTGGGCATTATCCCGACATTAATCCATGAATAAAGCGGCAAAATTGTGCCGCTTTTTATTTTCAGGATTTTCCTGATAATAAAAAGCAATGCATTTTGCCACTTTATTTATGGATGAATGTCGAGATAATGCCCAATCTGCCCAATGTGTCTGAAAACAATTCCGCTTTTGTGGGATGTTCACGGGATTTAAAGCCCATTTATCCACAGGATTTGGGCGCTTTGCCTCCTGTGTGAGAACCTCCCAAGATTGCCAATATGTGCATTCTCTTCCTGAGAATGCTAAGTTTGTGTGTATTTTCCTCATTTGTTGACCTAGTGTTTTTTATTTGCACAACCTTTGCACAACTGTGGTTGATGTTTACTGCCAAAGCAAGAAAGTCTAGGGAAAAAGGCTTCAAAAATTGGCTCAATTTTATTGAGAGCAAACTTAAAAGAAAAGGCACCATATTTTCCGGCGTATAAGACGACCCGGCGTATAAGACAACCCTCCATTTTTTCAGTCAAAATATAGAGTTTTAGCACCTCTATCCTCCGTATCCTTATACCTGACGTATAAGACGACCCCCCCCCCACTTTAACCACAGATTTTGCAGGTTAAAAAGTAGTCTTATACGCAGGAAAATAAGGTAATAAATAAAAAAATGAAGTTAAAAATGTAGCCAATTTGTTAGGCAAGTATGAATCTAAGGTTCTATGTGCAGAACCCAAATATAAGGTAAAATAATATTCCAACCGGTCATTAAAATTGCTGAATATAACCAATACTTGCTAGGCTCAGATACTATACATCCCAACCCATAAACAGAGTAGATGCTTTACATGTAAAATACATATAAGGTAAGTATATAATAGCTCCAAAATTACAAAAGGGAGGGATAACATTACAAGTAGAAAATGGATAATAATGACCATATGTTCTAGGCTCAAATACTATACATCCCAACCCAAAATTACAGCTTTATTTTGCTGTGGTACATCCAGATAATAGTGTATACTGGACAATCTAACACTTACCTTTATGGGATGTGCCTATATACATTGCTATTCCCTCAGCATCTCTTGACCACTGAAGAAGACCTAGTGTCGAAACGTGTTTGGTCATTATTATCCATTTCCCATTTGTAAGGGGCTTGTACTGTTATCCCTCCCTTTTGCACTTTTGGAGTTGTTATATACTTACCTTATATGTATTTTACATGTAAAACATCTCCCTTCACACTTTGTTTATGGGTTGGGATGTATAGTATCTGAGCCTAGAACATATGTTCATTATTATCCATTTTCTACTTGTAATGCTATCCCTCCCTTTTGTAATTTTGGAGCTGTTATATATTTACCATATATGTATTTTACATGTAAAACATCTCCCTTTACTCTGTTTATGGGTTGGGATGTATAGTATCTGAGCCTAGCAAGTATTGGTTATTTCAGCAATTTTAATGACTGGTTGGGATATTATTTTACCTTATATTTGGGTCCTGCACATAGAACCTTGGATTCATACTTGCCTAACCAATTGGCTACATTTTTAACTTATTTTTTTATTTATTACCCTTTTCTTTTAAGTTTGCTCTCAATAAAATTGAGCCAATTTTTGAAGCCTTTTCCCCTAGACTTCCTTGCTTTGGCAGTTTTCTTGAGGTTTAGGGTCACACCTCTCTATGTTGATGTTCACTGCGTCATGCTTAATGATATCACTAGGGTATGGTCTTTGTAATATCACCATGGCCCAGCCTCTGCGGTAACACAAGGGATTGTCCCTAGGAAATATCAGGGTCTGGGATAATTCTGATTTGCCTCGGAGAGTGGTGGAGTCTCCTTCTTTGGAGGTTTTTAATCAGAGTCTGGATGGCCATCTGTTGGGGGTGCCTTGATTTTGAGTTCCTGCATGGCAAAATAAGGTTGGACTGGATGACCCTCGGAGTCTCTTCCAATGCTAGGATTCTATGATCTTGATTCTATGGCCTGCTATCGTGTACAAAAGTTGTTGAATCTTTTCTCAACACTAGTGATGGGGTAAGGTACCCCACTATATCTGAAGGTAGGGAAGTTGAGAAGATGGAGGACAGGGCAGTGTGGTACACCAATGTCTGTCTTTCAAGGGAGATGACTGCTTGGCAGGCTCAGGGGGAATAGCTGGGGCACAAATCAGGGAGACTATTGTAAAGGTAAAGATAAGGTAAGATAAAGGTAATAATAGTTGTTCCTCCTTGGAAATACAAGGATTATTTCTCCCCTTCTTTGTCTTCAAGTGGTGATGGATTCTTCAGAAATGACGATCTGATGTCCGAAGCCCCAGCTGTGAAATATCGACCCGATGGCTTCCCAGGTTACAACACAGGTACTGTTGATACGTTGTGGGAACTCGCATCCACAAAAAAATGTTTCCCACTTTTGTTGTGGGAACTAGTAGGACTTTCTAGTTTGGGTACAGGTTTTGTAGGAAGGAGGGGTAAAAGAGCCAGGAGAGATATCAGGTAGAAAAAGGAGACGCAGAAAGGACTGCCCTCCTTGAGGTTGTAAAGTGGTTCAAGGGTAAGTCTGAGGACGCATCTACACCATAGAAATAATGCAGTTTGATAACATTTTAATTGCCATGGTTCCATCCTACATAATCTTGGGATTT